ATATATATATATATATATATATATATATATATATATATATATATATATATATATATATATATATATGTGTGTGTGTGTGTGTGAAGTTGGCATATACGGCCGGGGCCGTGTATGCTTGTCCTGATATATTACCGTGGCCTGAAGTGTATAATCATGTCTTAAGGGTTGAGGGTTGGCATGCTAAGACCTCACTCACGCACGCATTTCCACTTTCATTCTCTTCCTCTTTTCATTCAGTTACGTCTACTCCTCGTGTATTTCCTGCCATTACCAGTCTGTTCTCGTTCCCTCATAACTCATTTCAACTGTTTCTTTTCTCCAAGCCTTGCTCCTGACGCTTCTCCTCGACCATAGTGAGACATTCCTCAAGCTCAAAGAGTGTGCGCCGTAAGTTTCCAAATCTTCCGCATAGTGGTATCTATGTATGGACATACTTGAGGGCAGGCCAGGACGCATGCGCACACTATCCTAGGAAAACGAGTCAGCAGTCATAAAGTAGAATGGCTTGAGTTGTGAGGTGATGGCCAACGCCGGCACTACTGGGACCGGAGACCTCACCAATTAGTTCTCTCCAAGACCTTTGTTACAGCGAATAACCTGAAATAACCCCTAGTAGGTCACCCTTCTCCCCCGACGTTAACTGCAATCACAAGAAATTAATCTTTCTCTCGATTATATGTGGTCCACTATCACACGCCTTCTATTTCCATGATATTTTTGTCGTAAATAGTCTTATTTTTTTACTGAATCCAAAAAAAACTTGTAATGATAAAAAAAAACAGGATTTGATATATTTAGGAAAATGTATTGAAAAAAATCCACAATTTATGTGGGAAAGTAAGACACATTCACACATATCAACATAGATTTTGAACATCGTAACTGAGGTAATATGATTCACTTGTAATTGTACACAGTCGGTGAAGTAGACACACCTGGCGGCCTACCCACCTGCCTTGCGGTAATTCCGAGGATCAACGTTCCCAGGGGCCCGGTCTTTAACCAGGCCTCCTGGTTAGTGGTCTGCTCAACCAGACTGTTGAACGCGGCTGTTTGCAGCTTGACATATGAATTACAGCCTGGTTGATCAGGTATCCTCTGAAGGTGTGTATCGAGTTTTATTTTGAACACCATGAGAGGCCGGTCAGCTATGCCCCTTGTCTGTGGCGGGAGCGCGTTGAAGTCTTGGGCCTTTGATGCTGATAGTTGGTTCTCAGAGTACCTGTTGCACATCTACTTTTCAATAGGGCTATTCTGCACATCCTGCCATGCCTAATGGTGTCATGTGATGTGATTTTCGTGAGCAGATTTGGAACCAGTCCCTCTAATACTGTCCGTGTAAATTATATCTCCCGCCTGCGCTATAGAGAATACTGATAAAAACATTTTAATCGGTCCCGATAATAAAATCCCAGCTACCCAGCCATCACCAGTCACCATCCCTTTCCCTTTACATGTGCCTCCCCTTCACCCACCGGTAGTTCCCCTTCACCCACCAGTAGCTCTCCTTCACCCACCGGTAGCTCCCCTTCACCCGCCGGTAGTTCCCCTTCACCCACCAGTAGCTCTCCTTCACCCGCCGGTAGTTCCCCTTCACCCACCAGTAGCTCCCCTTCACCCACCGGTAACTCCCCTTCACCCACCGGTAGCTCCCCTTCACCCACCGGTAACTCCCCTTCACCCACCGGTAGCTCCCCTTCACCCGCCGGTAGTTCCCCTTCACCCACCGGTAGCTCCCCTGGCGGCAACTCCAGCTCCCCCTGGCGATAATTCGCTGCCACGGCATCAACAATTTACCCAGCGCTAACTCCATTTCTCCGGACACCAGCTCTAGTATCCATAACTTCATTTCCTGCACCAGTAACTCAAGTTTCCCGCCAATAACTCTAGTTTACTTATTGGTAATCTCCGTTACTTCACCTTAACTCCACATCTGCCGCTGCCTACTCATCTTCCGTCTATCTATAACGTTCATAACTTCTCTTCATCTCCGCCAACATCTGTCAACTTTACCTCATCTCCCATGCTATTCAACCCGTACTCTCAACTAATACGTCTCATTTTGTACGCTATGATCCCCAACATACAAAATATGGGGTACAATAAAAAGTAGCGGCTCACAAATATCCACGTTTTCTAATCGTACGTTGGTTAGGTTAGGTGGGCGGCTTGGGTTCGTGCATTTTAGTACCCGATATTTTGTATGCTGTGGCAAATCAAGACAACTGTCCTATTACACCTCTGCTTTTCAACGAAACTATTTGGCACTTCCTGTCGTGCTTCTTGGTCTCATGAGTTATTTCCGTGTGCAACTTCTGAATCAGACCCTCTAATATTTCTAAGTGTAAATTGCCATGTACCTCTCTCGCCTGCGCTCTTGGAAATAGTGAGAGAAATTTTAAATATTTCCAAAAATTTTAATGGTTTATTGAATAAATTCGGCAGTAAAAGATGTATTTCTGCAAGTTCTAAAAGTCAGCAATTTATTCAGCTTTAAATGGAGGTGTTATTGTGTAACAACATGCCGCCCTAGAGAGCACTAGTGTCTTAAAGGGTATCATCATTCGTCTGACATCCCTTAGTTGAAATGATTTGTTATCCAACCCGCCATTTTCCTTGCAGTTGTGACAACCACTTTATTGTGTTCTTTAAAACTTAGGTTTTCCAACATCATTACTCCCAAATCTTTAATGTTGCAGTAACTTCCCTTCAGCCAACTGTAATGATCTTTCACCGGTTGAACTCTTCATCAACCGGGACCGTCCTTTGGCCCACCAGCAAATTCCCTTCACCCACCGGTAACTCCCCTTCACCCAACAGTAACTTCCCTTCACCCAACAGTAACTTCCCTTCACCCAACAGTAACTCCCCTTCACCCAACAGTAACTTCCCTTCAACCACCGGTAACGTCCCTCTCACCCAACAGTAACTTCCTTTCAGACAATCGTAACGCTCCTTCGTCGTCAGTTTCACCAGTTAACTTTTGGAAGTTCACTATAACTTCCGGCCACTATAGTTCATTCTTCGGAGACTGTAATTAACCATTCATAAAGTATCTCATCTTCCAGATACTGCAAAAAGTGTATCATTTTCTGGATGTTGAATAAAGTGTCATCTTACAGGTGTTGAATAAAGTGCCATCTTACAGGTGTTCCATAAAGTATCTCATATTCCATGTCAAACTGTCTCATTTTCCAGGCGTTGCATAAAGTGTCTGGTCTTTCAAGCGTTGCAAATTGTCTCATTTTCCAGCCGTTGCATAAAGTGTCTCGTCTCTCATCTTTCAGGCGTTGCATAAAGTGTCTCATCTTTCAGACGTTGCATAAAGTGTTTCATGTTCCAGTGTTGCACAAAGTCTCATCTTGCAGTGTTACAGGTTTTTTTTATCTCGCAGTGTTCCATAAAATGCCTCATCTTGCAGTGTTGCATAGTGTCTTATCTTGCAGTGTTGCATAAAGTGTCTCATCTTGCAGTGTTGCATAGTGTCTTATCTTGCAGTGTTGCATAAAGTGTCTTATCTTGCAGTGTTGCATAAAGTGTCTCATCTTGCAGTGTTGCATAGTGTCTTATCTTCCAGTGTTGCATAAAGTGTCTCATCTTGCAGTGTTGCATAGTGTATTATCTTCCAGTGTTGCATAAAATGTCTCATCTTCCAGTGTTGCATAAAGTGTCTTATCTTCCAGCTGCATAAAGTGTCTCATCTTCTAGTTGCATAAAGTGTCTCATCTTCCAGTTGCATACTGTCTCATCTTCCAGTTGCATAAAATGTCTCATCTTCCAGTGTTGCATAAAGTGTCTCATCTTCCAGTGTTGCATAAAGTATCTCATCTTCCAGTGTTGCATAAAGTGTCTCATCTTCCAGTTGCATAGTGTCTCATCTTCCAGTGTTGCATAAAGTGTCTCATGTTCCAGTGTTGCATAAAGTGTCTCATCTTCCAGTGTTGCATATAGTGTCTCATCTTCCAGTGTTGCATAAAGTGTCTCATCTTCCAGTGTTACATAAAGTGTCTCATCTTCCAGTGTTGCATAGTGTCTCATCTTCCAGTGTTGCATAGTGTCTCATCTTCCAGTGTTGCATAGTGTCTCATCTTCCAGTGTTGCATAAAGTGTCTCATCTTCCAGTGTTGCATAAAGTGTCTCATCTTCCAGTTGCATAGTGTCTCATCTTCCAGTGTTGCATAAAGTGTCTCATGTTCCAGTGTTGCATAGTGTCTCATCTTCCAGTGTTGCATATAGTGTCTCATCTTCCAGTGTTGCATAAAGTGTCTCATCTTCCAGTGTTGCATAAAGTGTCTCATCTTCCAGTGTTACATAAAGTGTCTCATCTTCCAGTGTTGCATAGTGTCTCATCTTCCAGTGTTGCACAGTGTCTCATCTTCCAGTGTTGCATAGTGTCTCATCTTGCAGGTGTTGAATAACTGTGGTTCAACTTAAATATTTCTAGTTCGCCAACCGCTAAGTAAAATTCACACCTGTTAACTCCAATTCCTTCCCAGGATCTTCGCGCCACGCAGACAGCCGGGCTCCACTTCCGGGTAACTCTAGTTCACTCCCGGAAACCCACTTCATCTTCTGGTATTTGTCCACTTGATCAGTCGCCCTCCCATTGTAATCCCCGCCTACCGCAAAAGCTTAGGCCTATCTCAAATTTAACCCAAAACTGTCTCCTGGTAAACCACATATAAACCAATTTTATGTTATACACAAAAGCATGTCACTTATGCAAGATTAAAGTAAAATATGCGTAGTAATTGTTGCATATAAATATAATATTTTTACAGTGTATAAAAGCATTACCCTTAGTTGTTCCTCGTGAATAAAACGGGTTACGTATAAGTCCACATCTGCTAACCAAATAACTTACGAGTTATTTAAACGTTATTTGATATAACAAATAATAATGATATGAATACATAGTTTGCAACTTTTTCCTTGTTGCACGCCCCGACCACGCATTACAACGCGTGAGACCATGAATGACCATGGAATGAACTGCTTACCTTTATGCATGCCGGTGAGCTTGTCCTTGAGCACAGTAAACTCGTAGATCTTGCCGAATTCGTCAAAGAGTGGACGCAGATCCTTCTCCTCCATGTGCCTGGGGATCTGGCCAATGAAGAGCTTGATCGCGTCGTGTTCTTTATGTGGGGGTGAGGCAGCGTGGTGTTGGTGACCCGGGTGGCTAAGGGAAGCCACTAACTGCTGATGGTGGTGCTGCTGCTGTGACTGCTGCTGCCCTGGATGCTGGTGCCCGCTGCCAGGCTGGTGGCTGCTTCCGGGACTTCCGGAATGGCTCATCGGCCCGGCAGCGTGGCCATTGAGGTGAGCGGCAGACACGCCGTTCACACCCACGCCGTTGATAGCGGGCAGGTGGTGGGGAGGGTACGAAGTGTCGATGAGGGCATTGTGGTACGCGGCCATGTTGATCAGCATCGTGCCGTTGGATGACTAGTTTTATAACGAGATACCAATTTTCAAAGATTGAATGAGAGCTTAGAATAATAGATTCTTACTAATGTTTATATCCGACGCAAGTAAACTGGCACAGAACTTAAGGGAAGGGGGTGACACTGGACACTTGACGGTGCTATCTCGCACACCGGACTCAGGTGCCCTGAGCTAACTCTCAATTGAACAATATTGAACACAATCGTGAAGTTAACAGGGAACTCTGAAACAGGAAGCTCTCGCGATATCTAAAACTAGGATCCTTTTCCAATTACGTTCACTACAGGGGAGGGGGAAGTAGAGGGGAAGGTGAGGTTCTGGGAGAGAACCACAAGTTGGTCCGCTGAGTGACCTCAGCAGCCACCAGTTCTTGGTGATCCCGTGAGCGAGCAGCACCAGCCACACGGCACTCACTCAGCGCTCACCACACTTGCCGGTCTTTCGAGGAAGACGCTGGAGCGGCTGATGGATCCGTCGCAACGGGTTTTCTGGAAGGGCGGACCAGCTTGCAGTTGGGCCAGAGCGAGGAGCAGCCTCAGCTCACGATATCCAAGATCTGCGGATTATCTACGATACCCAGCCTCGACATACATCAATTCTGAACGTCTACGACAGAACACCTTTTGATATTCAAGTCAGGTAATCTAGACTAAGATGTCTTGAACTTAACCTTTCCAAGAAAAATCTTCAACAAGTTGAAAACAATGATGGTGCGTACAAAATCACAACACAGACTGGTGTAGTAGCATAGCCAAACCACGCATAGACGTATACACGCACACAGGTTATACACACACGTCGAGTACACACAGCGGGAGGAAGAGAGAGGGAGAGAGAGAGAGAGTGTGCGTGTGTGTGTGAGATGGTGTGGGACGCGCGGGGCACTGCTAGGCTGTGCACTGTCTGGAGTCACAGCGTTCACTGAGCTGTCTGGTCCCAGCGCGCCCCCACCCCTCACCACCCACCACCGCCGCCCCCTCCACACACACCCCATACTACAACCCAAATTTCATCCTTTCCCTGACCGGGTTCTTCTCTTTTTCGTATTCCCTGTCCACGTCTTGGAATGTCTATCACAAACATGCAGACTGACGCTTCCTGTCCCTCGAGTGTTGCAGTAGCTTTTAGCCCCACATTTCTGCTCTTTCCTTCTTCCTCTTCCCTATCGACCCACCACAGCCCAAATTTCACCCTTCCCCTGAGTGGTCCACCGTCTTTGTACTCCCTGTGTTTCCTACTTTTCTCACTATTCTTTTTACAATTTGCTATAATTATTCCCATCCTGGGTTGCCTCAATGTTGACCACACAAACTACTTATATTTATATGTGTAAATTAACCTTTCATTCGTTTACTAATCCACGCGTCCTCTTAAGCGAGCCTTCACTTGCGTATAAAACTATATTTTAGTTCTTTATTTTTTTGCAGGGGGGGGGCGCCTTAATGTGAATCTGCACCTTTTGCCAATACTTTCACTCCTCTCCATCGATCCCCCCGCGGCCCTCGCACCCCCGCCTCGCTGCCTCCACCTTCACTTACTCTACATCATTCCCACTACCTATTTTCAGTTTATATACCTTTCTACACATTTTTTTCTTCGTTCCTTCTATAGCCGTACTTTTTTTTGTACAGTATCTCCTTTCATCCGTCGGCCGACGCTTCTCTAACTTTCAAACCCCCTTCTTAAATTTCTTCCACTTCTCTTCCAAACACTCCCACCCCCACTGGTCCCTACCCACAACGGTCCCCCCTACCCCCCACAAGTCCCAACTCTCACTCCAAAAACATCCTCTCCACTTACCGCCAATACTCTTTAGTTCTTTTTTCTCTCTTTCTACTTCTTCAGCCTCTCTCCGCCCTGTCTTAATTACATGACCTCGATATCCCGGCCTAAAAATAAAGCAGGACACAGATGTGTCATCATCGCTTCAAGTCCAGACGTTTGGGTATACAAATAATTATACATAGTTAAAGAGGCACCGAGAGAGAGACTGGAGCGGGCAGGTCGCAAACCCGCCGGGTGTTGGAGCAGCTCGTCCTCTCCAGTTGCCACAACGGATAAAAAATATTGTACTAAATCACCAGAATCTAATGCAACCTAATCGAGCGACCCACGCATAGAAAACGTGAATGTTTGTGAGCCGCTTTGATTTATAGTGCATCTTATTTTGTCCGTTTGTACATCTTATTTTGTCCGTTTGTACATCTTATTTTGTCCGTTTGTACAACTTATTTTGTCCGTTTGTACATCTTATTTTGTCCGTTTATACATCTTATTTGTCCTTTTCTTGACGTCAAAATGGAATGTATTAGAGAGGTCAGGTTGTTGGAGAGTAACCAGCTTACTAATGCGTTATCACTAATGCCCTGGAAACACTAATCGAGGTGTACTAATTAAGCGACAAAATTATGAATATAAATATAAATAATTATTTTAAATGGCGAACACTTCTTTGAAGACCATTACCATCGCAGTGTCAATGAGACGCCAAATACTAATTTGATTCCGTGGCTTTGGTTCCGAGATGAAGGTATTGATAAAACAAATTCACGCATATTGACTTGTGCGTTTTGCAAACTGTTGTTCAGTTCTCGTCTGTGCCATGAAATAGTGCGACCAATGAGGCATACAGTGTCGGCTGTATCAGCCAATAAGCAAGAGCCAGGTGGTGCCTCGTTCACTTATTAATGCTGCTCTGTGAAAATCAACAATTCAACCCGACATCAGCCTTCACCCAGCGAAGGTAAGGTAATTATCAGGGAAAAGCGTCAAGCCCTTACAACTATATAGCACTTGGAAGGGATCAGGATATGGATTTGGGATGGGACGGGGGGGGGGGGGGAAGGAATGGTGCCCAACCACTTGGACGGTCGGGGATTGAACGCCGACCTGCATGAAGCGAGACCGTCGCTCTACCGTCCAGCCCAAGTGGTTGCTTTCACCTAGCGAAGAAATATACAATAACTAAAGATGACACAAAACTGACACATGGTTTGTGCTTTAGTTTGACGTCTATTGTGGAAAATTTACTGTTATCAATAATCGCAAATACCATCCGTACATAACTTGAAAAACATAGAGTAACAGGGTAATTCATATTTAAACACATTGTTATCATTCTTTTCAGCATATTTGAAGCCTTGACGAAAAAGATTACGATATTACATATCTAAACAATAGTACAGCTTCTGATACTCTCACGAAATACATTTTAGGAAGGAATAGGCTTATATGCAATTAAAGAGGACATTTTAGAATGGATTAGGGAATTCTTATTTCTAAATGATCCACATGTGGTTCATGAGTGCGTTGAGTAGTAGATACATATGTGGTTCATGAGTGTGTTGAGTAGTAGATACATATGTGGTTCATGAGTGTGTTGAGTAGCAGATACATATGTGGTTCATGAGTGCGTTGAGTAGCAGGCACATATGTGGCTCCAGTACATGAACCAGCACGCACATATATGATTCAAATGTATAACACTAGTATATAGCACGCAAGTATATTGTTTAAATTAAAAATGGTTTATGTGAAAATTTTACCCTCATTTTTACCATTTTTGTAATCCGACAAAGCCGGATTACAAATGTGTATAGCATACACATAAGAATACAAGAACTCACATACACTACACAAGTATAATAACGAGATTAATTAATGGCAGGATCTGGAGCAGAAGCTGAATGCCACGATAGGTCACAGTCAGTCCGACCATCCTCACTTATAAGAACATTCCTCTCAATGATCAACACACCACACATCGCAAGGCGAAGAAACGGCGACTTTTTGGCCCGTTCTGGACCATTATCAAGCCGTGATAATGATCCAGGACCGAAACGTCGTCGTCTCTTCATCTTCTGATGTTTGGTTTGGTTTTCATCATATCTTCAGCCACGTTGTCACTAATCGTCAGCATTCCTTTTCAACATTCTAAAGAAATGACATTTGGAAATAAGGGAGGAAAACCTGGAGTCATGGTTGAGAGTAAGTGAACAATATTCGTGATGTAAAAAGACTGAGATACGGACCCAGGAGCCAGATTCACGAAAGCACTTACGCAAGCACTGACGAACCTGTACATCTTTTCTCAATCTTTGGCGGCTTTGTTTCCAATTATTAAACAGTTAATGAGTTCCGAAGCATCAGGAGGCTGTTTTTAACAATAACAACAGTTGAATGGGAAGTTTTCATGCTTGTAAACTGTTTAATAAATATAACCAAAGCCGTCAAAGATTGAGGAAAGATATACACGTTCGTAAGTGCTTGCGTAAGTGCTTTCGTGAATCTAGTGCCAGAAACACGAGATGTTATTATAAAGTACAAACCACGTGGAGCACATCAAGGTAACGGTGGCGTGTCGTATTCCCTCGCATTAAGGGGGCGTTATTCGGGTATATTAAAGTTGTTGTTCAGAGTCAACCATTATTTTTGACTAGTTGTATATGAAAAGGGCTGCAATTGTTCTAAGTTTCCGAACTGTAGCCTAAATAGTATGGGAGATTTTTAATTTTTTTTCAACGAATTTTACACATTTTCAAGTGTAAGTTTACAATCACACCTTTCAGATATAATCATTCTATGACACTTTTCTGACACATTAACATATAATAAAGGATCTCTTGCAAGAGATTTTCCAAAACGTCTTTAGTTTTCCTAATACAAATAGTCTACGTTCCCCCCATAAAAATCAAAATATTCCGTTGATAATGCCTACCTAACGATGTCTACATATTAAAATCCTTATTACACAAATTTACATTACCTGCTAGTAACATAATTTACGATACTAAGTTATGAAAAATAACAATTTATCAGTTGAAAGTTCATTAAAATAGCACCAAACATTTTACAATATAAAAGAAAATGAGACTAGCGGGAATTACATGCAGCCTATTGGCCCATACTCCCGTTGATGACACGCTCTCTGATGGTGTCTTATTAAGTAACAACCAGATTTTTAGTTAAGTAGCTTCCTGTTTGAGGTTATCTTGAAAGGATTTCGGGGCTTAGCGTCCCCGCGGCCCGGTCCTCGACCAGGCCTCCTGGTTGCTGGACTGATCAACCAGGCTGCTGGACGCGGCTGCTCGCAGCCTGACGTCAGTATAGTTCGACATTGGTAAACCTCGATATAAGCCTAAAGTGTTTGTTTGGGGGGGGGGGGGGGTGAGAAATCCACCACATATACGAACCACCCGGCCAGGCTGTCCCTTACTAAACAACCACCCATGGTAGCGTGGAAAAAGGGTGAATCACTCGCTAATGTCCTAGTAAGGACCAAATTTCCACGAGATCGACAACACTAAGGTGTGTAAACATGAAGATCGCTCCCGGACGCGAGGAGCAACAACTGGCGCGGGTTAAAGGGGCGTTTATACCAAGGTTGGAGAGTGGCAAACATTGGCCAATGTTTGGTGCATATAAAATTAATATTCCTGGCTACCTTGTGTCAAAATGTATATTCCTGTATATATTATATACGTGTATGTATATTCCTATATGTAATATATATATATATATATATATATATATATATATATATATATATATATATATATATATATATGTCGTACCTAGTAGCCAGAACTCACTTCTCAGCCTACTATGCAAGGCCCGATTTGCCTAATAAGCCAAGTTTTTCTGAATTAATATATTTTCTCTAATTTTTTTCTCATGAAATGATAAAGCTACCCATTTCATTATGTATGAGGTCAATTTTTTTTTATTGGAGTTAAAGTTAACGTAGATATATGACCGAACCTAACCAACCCTACCTAACCTAACCTAACCTATCTTTATAGGTTAGGTTAGGTTAGGTAGCCGAAAACGTTAGGTTAGGTAGTCGAAAAAACATTAATTCATGAAAACTAGGCTTATTAGGCAAATCAGGCCTTGCATAGTAG